TGAGCAGAATCTAAAAGCAATAAGCCATAGCAATATGTTTTCTCAGTCTGTTTCAATCTGTGGTCCCTAAAAATTTCCTAGTGGAGCTGCTTTGAAAATTTCATGTGCACATAGATTACTGTGTAGTATCTATGAATCTAGTTCCTGCTTGTGCATCCCTTAAAAATTACTTCATCAGGCTCAGAGGTCAACATATCACAGGCTGAAACACATTGATGCAAATGCAGTGAGACCCTCAGAAAGGTCACCCATTAAGCAGTCTGACTATCATTGCCTTAGTCTTTATGTTTTGGACAAAACCAAAGTACAGTAATTGTTATTTCTAATTAAACTTTTAAAGCGTGCCATATAAGACATAAACTAGAGATACTCCTTGTCCACAAAGATTTTTAAAATCTACTTTTTAAATTAATTAGTGCAGCTACCAAATAAGCATGAGCTCACAGCTCAGTCTGGAGGGTTAGTAGTTCTAGAGTGTTGCCTGAAGCTCTTCAAGATCTGTTATAAAAATCGTAACATTTCTGTGCAGCTATGGGACAATTCCACACTTGATAGCCTCTCATTTTGTGGCAAAAAGCCTCATAAAATAAAATTTAAATGCTTATAAAACAAAATATTCTTTCTGAATAATATTTTCTTCCTGTAAGGAGTATCACTAAACAATAATAAACTGTAAAGATGTTAGAAACAAACAAAAATTAACAGTGATTTATTTTTATTTGGAGCTTATACATTTTTGAAGTTGCAACTTTTGAAATGTAAAATAAAAGATTTCAGATTATACTTGGCATGATCAGAATAAACAAATACTAATTTTCCAGTACATTATCTTCAATAATGAATCTCATGGGCTATATTTCTGCTTTTCATTACTGCTGTCACAATGTAGCTCCCAATAAGTCATCTTTCAGTTAAGTGCTGTCCACAAATATCTGCAACTCATTCACACATACAGTATTGCAAAGGAGGTAAGTAAAGGCAAAGCCTGACCTTCCAATTTTAATATCCTGTCTAGTTATAAAACATCTGAATTCAAATCAGTGTTCAAAGAATTTCACTGAAATACTCTTGGCAGAGTATTTTTTCCCATGTATACAGCATGTGCCCATCCATTAACACTGTCTTGATCTTATTGTTAAAATCACTGAAAACAAAAAAGAACAAAGTAAAACAAAACACTCACCCACGAAATCTCATAATAAAGAACATTTTTCTGGGCCAGATGGTTCACTGCAGTGAAGGGTCAGTCTTTTGTTCAAACAGGGCTTTCAACAGTGGAATCTTTGCTAGCCACAGAACCATTTCCAGTCAATTACAGAGGATTTTAATTAGTACCAAAAAATGTTCCCAGCTTCTTTTGCATAGCTTTGCAGAGCAGCGAAATCACCTTTAGGAGGAGCTGCATACCCTCCTGTACAGCTCCATAGCTCCTGAAAAGCTGTTAGGCACTATAGAATGCAGTTTAATTAACAAAGATTCTGAAAAAGATGGAAAATGATAAAAGACAGCCCCATGGGATCTTTTACTCCACAGTCTTTTCTCAAAATAATCAGCTGTATCTAAGACTTCTGTGATGGATGCTTGTCTAATTTGCTCTTAAAAACCTTCAGTGGTGATGCTGTAGTGGTTAACACAAGTATTAAGAATGAACAGCCAAATCTTTAACATGAACAGACTGACAAAAACAAAGCAGAACCAGAGGCAGTGGAGATAGAAATCTGTTGAATTGTAAAAGCACTTTAGAAACAAATATTTTTATTTTGAGGACACAGTGAAGAAAAGAAAGTTGGGTATCTATGGAAGGGATAAGAAATAATTCAATTTACTTAGGGATGGTCACAAGAGTGATTCTAACAGAAATCAGGATTAGACAGCCAAAACCAAGATAGGGCAGAAAGGCTGAATAGAAGGTCAGCTTTTGCAAATCTAAGCCAACCTTTCTGATCTGTTACCTTTGTTGCTGTAAATACACCTGTTCACTTCTTGCAATCACCTTTTAGGTCAAAGGAAGCCACGTACAGGAAGACTTCATTCTGCATTAATCTCACTCATATAATTTATTGGAGCTTTGAGAAATAGAAGGAATGTCCAAACTGATCCTTGGTGTCCTGATTTGTCCTTTGTGTCATTTGAACACTGGCCCAAGCAATGTCTGTGTCTAATTGATTTCACACCGTCAGTAGGCAACTGATCCCAGCATCTAAGTGTCAACTTAGAGTTGAAATGTTTCTTAATGGACAATTTAATTCTCCCTTCCTACAGGTTAGGCTCCTGTAGGCATAAAGAAAATTTTGTTCCATTCCTTTTCACGGAGTTCTCTAAAATCATTGAAGCCCATGATTCACATCTCCACTCAAACTTCCTATTTCCCAACCTACTCAGCTCATACACCATATTTTCTGGATCTCTGATCATTCCTACTTTCTTCTGGGTTTGTTCCAAGTTGTCAACTTTTTTCTTGAAGCGTGGTAAGGAAAACCTGGCCTGATACTGCACTCTCACCAATGTGAAGTTGCATGAAAAACTGCTTCAAATGCCACCTTCTCCCAGTTAACCATGTCATGTGCAGACTTTTTTTTTTTGTCATAGCAATAGGACTGCTGTGAGGAGTGACATAAGCAAACTTGTTTAACTTGAACTGCAGTGGATAAGTAACACATACAGAGTCAGTCACTGAACCTCAGCAAAGGGACAGTAAAACAGTAAGAGGAATTAATGCAGTTGCTTATTCAACTCCACCTCTAGTGTTCACTCCCTTCAACATCAGCCAATGTACTTTGTCCCCTGGATGATTAGTGTTTTCAGTGACAACTGAAGCAAAACATTGCTAAATATTCTGGCCTCCTTACCTCAACCTACAGTTCATTTTCCCTCTCTGTAAAAGAGTGGGATGATTCTGCCTCTTACAGCTAGTGTCCTTACACTGAATGTTATCTTGTCACATCTGTTTTTAATGAGATGTTATTTTTTGCCTTGACCTGCCAGATTTGGCTCATGCTACTGTTTTATACTCTTCCTCAGTAAGTTCTGCACACATCTCATCTGTACACTGTCTTGCAAAGACACTTTCTGTCTGAGGTGCCTAGCTCTTAGGTCAGTGATTTTACCCATCTGATGGTTTAGTGCTGCTTGCACAGAAAAAAAGAGGGTATTAGTGTAGCTTGTGAAACTACAGGTAATACCCTTTTCTCCTTACAGATCAGGACAGTCTTCAAAAGGACACGTTTTTCCTATTACTCTTAAGTCAACAGCTGCATTTGTGTTAGTTCTGACAACTGTCATGCAAGTTGAAGCACTAACACCGCTGGAGGAGCACGATCTTGAAAAACATGCTGTCCCCACCTTAGAGCTGTGGCAGGCCTTGCATCGGGTATGTCACCTTAGGGGGCTGCTTGGCACTGGCCACACTGGTTGGATGTCTCTGTGGAGATGTCTGGGAAGAGGCACATGACCAGAGGAAAACTGAGCTTCTGCAAGACCAAAATTTCCACCTCCTTCAGACGTTTGTATCCCAGCCTGTTTGGAAAAATCCTTAAAGTTACTGCAATTTCCGTATGGTTTCTAAGGGGCACCCTCCACAAGTAGAGGTAGGAAGAGACAAACCATCTGACAAAACATCTTCCTCTCCCTTATTTTCTCCCTTGACAGCAGGAAGAGCTGCAGTATATATATGCTTTTTTTGACACTAGAGAAACACTTGGTAAGAATTCCCTACAAATGCGCCACTTCCATAAATAACTTCAGCTGTGGCCCACAATCAATCATAAGATACAAATCCAGAGGAAAACAGACTGTTTGAAGTCCAGTACTCAACTACTTACTGTTCCCCATTTCCCCCTCTCTGTGACGTGTTGTCAGGGCCAAATTGCAGAGCTGTAACAAAACTAAATGTCATAGAAAGCAGGAAAAGAAAGGGTTAACATATGAGATGGGTCCACACACACCTGCAAGCCCTAAGTAGACTGGGGAGGAAGAGATAAAAGTCTGGGCTGTTGCCTAGCAGGAAGTTTGTTGGTCTAAGCTTTGTTCTGAGGAAAGGAGCTCTTTGCTGAACCAGGCTGGGAAAGCGGTGCCATCCAAGAAAACAAACTGCCCTGGACTAAAAGGTTGGTTGTTTGCTTTTTAATGGCTGATAAGAGCCCTAAAGCTGAGGAGTGAAAACACCTAGCTTCTGTCTTCAACCTGCCAGCTAGAGAAGCCTGGAGAGTGATGAAGTACTGTGAGCGGCTCTTCCTGCCCTGAACAGGCAGGCACAGGAAAAGGAATCCAAGTGACTACCTATTCCTGGCCCTGGGGGTGACCCGAGTGCTGGTGGCAAGGGCCTGGGGAGCCTTTCCCTGATGAGCAGTGAGGGGGTTTCCTGGTGCAGGTGCTGGCCCCAGCTCAGGCTGTTGCCCAAGGGCCGGGCTCTGAGGCTCCGGGCTCTGTTTCTCCTCTGCAACAGCAATCGGACAGCTCTGAGAAACGGAACCTGGTTTCAGAGACGAGAAAATACTGTATTTGTGCCCACAGGCATACATAAAAAGGAAAAGCTGCCTTTGTACCTGCTCAGTAAACAGAAGCTGCTGCTCCCCAGCCTGTAGGAACAACACTAAATACCTCCACACTGAGCTGTAAGCTTATTTGCAGGCTCTAAAATCAGAAGCTGAGACAGTTAATCTGTTGATTAATGATGAGAGGCTCCAAATGAGATTGGCTTCCACTGTTGCTATATTAGCTGTAACAAGCTAATACATAGTATGTAACTCAGACACACTACGCAAAACCCTTCTTGCTCCTTTCCCAGGTGAACCACAAGGCAAAGCGCACCTGAAGAAATATTCTCTTTCCGAGGTGCGTTACCTTGCACCTGTCGTTGCCCCCCCCCCCGCTTCCCCGGAGCCGTTGGGGCTGCGGCCAAGCTTTCAGCTCGGCTGAGGCCCGGCCAGGCCCGGCCCGGCCGTGGCGGGCTGCCCCAGCGCCGGGGCCGCCGCGGGGGAAGGACGGACAGCCGGCGCGCGGAGGGGCCGCCCCGCCGCGGGGAGGAGCGCGGCCCGCAGCACTTAAGCGGCGCGGCCCCGCGGCTCCGCGGCCGGGCCGGCCATGGAGGGGGCGCGGGAGTACGTGGGCTCGCTGGTGCGGTGAGTGCGGGGACCCCCCCACACACACACACGAGTGGGGAGGGGGAGGTGGGGCCCGGGAGAAGCAGGCAGGCAGGCTCTCGCAGCCTTTGGAGCCCCGGAGGAGGACGCGCTTCTGAGGGCAGCAGCGCTGCGGGGCCGGGGAGTGACCGGCTGGGCAGCGGCGAAGCTGCCGGCCCTGGGGGCGAGGAGCCGGCGTGTCCGCGTGGGGGGATGGGGGGGGCGGGCTCGGGGCCGTGGGGAGCCGCTCCGTGGCAGCGGGAGCGCGGCTGCGGGCCTCCTGGTCCGTGTCTCGGGTGGGCCGGCCGCACCCGCAGAGGTGTGGGTCTGTACGCCGCCCAAGCGCATCTCCTCCTCGCTGTGGTTCCGATATACCCGTGATTTTAGCAGGGAAACCGGGTCGACCCCCAACTCTCCTGACTAATTTCTGACTTTTTTTTTTTTGGCTTTGCTGTTACTGCCGTTGTCATTTGTGCGTGAACTCTGACCTAAAAATCAAACCGTGCCATATTCTGAAGCCACTCGTGTTGTGCAATTGTTGATTTTTCTGAGTGAGGCTGAAGACCATTGCACCAGATTCTTAGACAAACATGCAAGGAATAGTGCAAACAGAGTGAAATATGTGTACAGGGCTCAGGGCAGGTTTTTAATCCCCAGGTTTTCTTAAAAAAATAAAAATAATCTCTCCCACCAGCCTTGATACTACGCTGAATGTCTAGGGCAGTGAGTCCCTCTCTAGCAGGTTGAAGTTATACAAAACAAACTGGACAAGATGCTAGAGTTTGAAGATATTTGCTCTTCCGATTATATTTTTGTGTTTTCCACTGATGTAGGACCATTTCTCCTTTAGGGAAGAGCTAGGACTTGATCCTTTTAACTTTAAAGAATACTAAACCAGTAGTGGAGTTGTCTGTATCTAACATGTCACTCAACTTTGTAACAAAACTGACAGCACCTTAGTATGTTCCTTTCCTCTCCACCACTCATTTCCTGACCTAGCTTGATGAGATTTTGATAGGACATTTCAGTAACTCCGATCTTAGTAGAGGATTCCCTGCATCAGGAATCAGTTTGCCTGGTTTCTGAGGACAGCTGCAGCAAAAACGGATCTTTCTAGGAGCCCTTTTATGTAAGCTGGCCTGTTCGAGTCTGTGGCTTTGTGTATTGGGGAAACTAAGAAAAACCAGGCTTTCAGCAATAGGACAAGAAATGGAAGGATTCATACTACGTGGCTTTTTCTAATCACACTGGCTTTTATTTCCTAGTACTTCTCATTGAAATCTCAGCCTGCACTGGAGCCCAGACTCTGCTTCATAAGCAGATTTAGTTTAAAGATGATATTGACTGGTTTTATTGAAATGTAGTTTAAATGGCATCAATGTTAAATAACTTCCTAAGACTTGGTCTCCTAAGTGACTGTCTGGTGAACCTAAACAAAGTCTTGGTTTATGAATCTGTTTGTGGGGTTTTTTTCCTCTGACTTTTTACATCTTTTAGAACTAGGCAGCAGAGTGAGGTGATTGATCTCAAATCATGAAGAAACTTCTGCTCAGAACTGCAAAATATGGCTTGTATAGGTGGCTGTGCTAATGTCTGAGGTGGAGTCTGTTAGCTCAAGTCATGACCTGGAGCTGTGCCCCTAACATTCTTCTTTCTGTATCAGGATGTATGTTTCGGCTTTTTTCCTTATGCTTTGTCTTTTGTGAATGACAACTTGGCTTAAGTAATGGGAAAGAAAACTGTTCAATAGGACTAGTATTTTCTGTCCTCACAAAGAACAAAACCAAACTTGGCCGTACTGTCAAATGTACCACTCAAGTAACTATTCTGTATAATTCTATATATTCTGTATATTCTATATAAACATGCTAGTTTTTAAACATGTGAGGGGGCACAGGATATAACTAGCTCTGAAGGCGCTGTCTCTTTAATCCTGACCATTGCACTTTCTTACATCAGGGTGCCCTGTGGAGTCACCATCCCTGAGGTAGATGAGCAGGCTTCCTATCTGAGGAAAGGCTTGAGTGATTCAGTGGGAGCTGCCCACAGGCTGGTGGGATGATAGGGTGACTATAATTAATTTAGTCAGTGAAGAGATTAACAGACACGCCCTGTCCTAGCACACTTCCCTTCTGTGGAGCTTCAATGCCTTTGTCGGTGCTACTCTGTCACCTTATCCTCTTCCCTGTCTTGACCCTTCTCCAGGAGAAAGATGCTTATTATCTCTTTAATTTGAAACAGTGCCTGTCTCCTGAAAACCATACTGACTGCTCACCCTCACCAGCTTTGCTACAGAGAGAGAGATTTCTACCAGCCGTGTGTGTATAAATCAAACTGTTGAAAGCCAGGGCCCTAGTGTTGAGACAGCACTACCAAGAAGATACTAGCTTGAGCTAGAATAAAACTGTTGAACATCCCTCTCTAAAAAGAAAGAAAAGCTCCAATAATGCTGAAGTTTTGAGGAAGGTAAACTTTGATGTACAGAGGAAAGGCAATAGCTCAAACCTCTGTGGAAGAGCAGTTCAGAGTGAGAGCAGGAAATAAATTAACAGCTGAAAACTCGTGAGGCACAAAAATTACTTTCTAGGCATGCATCCCAAAAATATAAAGACCGGGTAAGAGGCTTGGAGAAGATTGTTATTCTCCCAGGCCAATGTGGACTTGCACAAAAGGTGTGACTGGGACATTATTAGTTGAGTAACTTTATATAATTTCATCATTGTTCTAGGAATTTGTGTTCACTCTCTGGCTGCGGAGACTGCCAGTTCACTCCCTCCTCCTCTGTAAAAGTGTCTGAGAATAGATTTTTCTATATAAATCTGACCTTTTACACCTATGGGAGAACAAAACTGGGGATGCATCCCTTTCTGACCCCTGTGCAATTCAGTTTCAAGGAGTAAAAGGTATACAGTGGGTAAAGTCCAGGAATGTGGGAGCCAAAATTTTGTCTCCCTTTAAAAGACTTGTTAGAGATCAGTCCTTTCCAGGTGTCATGCAGAGGGTGATTTTTGCAAGCTGGCTATTGAATTAATCAGTGTAATTTGGCAGCAAAGTCTTGTCACTAGATGTAGATGGGAACAGGTCCATACCTGAGTGTAGCAGTAGGCAGTTGCCAGTGTTATGTGCTTGGTTCACCTAAGGAAACATAAAGAATCACTATTAAAACATGTTGTTGCCCAGGGAAATATAAAACCTCTTCCTGAAAGTGTTTGATTTCTCCCAGCCTCTCTGGCAGCCTGCTCCAATGCTATGCTTTTATGTACTTTGATCTTAATTTTAATTTCATTTTACTTATTTTGATACACTAGGGCACAAACAAGTCTTATTTTGCGATTATTCTTTTTTTTTTTTTTTCAAAACTAGATGAAGTTTTATAGGCTGTAGATATTATAAGATAAATGTCTCGTCTGTTTGGAAATCAAACATGACTATATAAAAAAGCTCCACTCGTGTTCTGGTGCTGGGTATTTTTGGATATGGGCAATATGTTCTGTCTTCCTAAAACAAACTCATATCTTAAACAGTTGAAAGCAGTCGTGTGTTATCTCATTGAGTGTTTATCTTGCAGGTAAAGAGAATGATCTAGGTGGCTGAATGCAGTAAGAGCTGCTGCCTTTCTAGTTTAGTGTTAAAACCTGTCAGCCTCACTGTAATTGTGACCTTGACATCAGCTGAGCTAGAGGTGGCCCACATCTGCTTGCAATGTTTTCAATTTTAGAAATGTTTTCAAATGTCACTGGCAAGAGAATGTCCAGAGACAGCATGTCTGTAGGGCTATGTAGTATTTAGTTTTGAAAGCAAGCTCCATGAGTCTAACGTGACCTGTGAATTACTCGTATAATGTGCTTACGTCACTAAACTGTCCTCCTCCTCCTTGTAGTACTTGACATTACTATTTTTATAATTATGCTGTATTTTTATTTGTCTTAGATCTTTGGTATCCATGGGAGCATCTGTGGGAACAGTAACAAAACAGACCCTGTTCCCTCCTCTCATGCCTGCAGGGCGACCTTTCCGTGTGTCCAATGCCTCCCGAAGCAGCCGGAAAGGAATTGTTGCAAGCAGTCTGCAAGAGCTCATCAGCAAGGTATAGCAAACATTCCAATCTGGATGAAACTTAGTGAAGTACAATATCCCAGAAAGGCAACCCACAGACTTCTGTGCTTCTAAAAATCATTACTGGAGAAGTTCAGGAGAGTGTCAAATAAGCAAGTCTTAATATGAAATGATGGGCCCTCTTTTGAATGCTAAAGTCTACTGGTTTTTTTGCAGACTTTAGATGCTTTCCTTATATCTGCTGGAATAGTGACTCTAGTTTTGGAGGAAGATGGCACGGTTGTGGACACAGAAGAGTTCTTCAAGTCCCTGGATGATAATACACACTTCATGGTTCTAGAAAAAGGACAGAAATGGACACAAGTAAGTGTTGGCTGCTTCTCTCTCACTTGAGTAGAAGCAGATGGAAGAATGTCTGTGACTGCTAAAATTGTTGGAAAGAGGAGAAGAGGAAGAAAACTTCCCCTAAAGAAGGCAAAGTATCATATCCTTGTTGAGTCTTCCCGGATGAGAAATCAAGTTGGGGTTTTTTGCGCCTATAGAACTGTTGGCAAAGATCTGCCAAGAATTGAAATGAAATATTACAACCAAAAGTATTTATAGGGGAAATCCCCTGCTTTTGGAAAGCCTCAAATAACTTTGTTCTTTAATCTTTTTGTAACATAAGGAAAACTAGCACTATGACTACATGAAGTTAAAAATACAATGTCTTTAAAGGTTAGCTTTCAGAGGAGAAAAATGCCCAATTTAAGCAATGTAAACCAAGTTTTGCCTTGTGAATACAGTGATGGCTTAATGAAGGTTAGAAAAATGCTGGTGTTTAATCTTGCAAACAGATAAAAAATGTCATCAAAACCTAATGTTAGTGTACATGCTTCAAGATATTTTAAAAACTTTTAAGGTCAGCTAGCTTTGGCCTTCTAATTGTACCAATTCAATGTCCAGTTTGTGGTTTTGTGGGGGAATAGTCATCTGTACATAAATAAGATAGAGTCAGACTCCTAATTGTCTTTCCATGAAAAATTTGTTGCTAGAAAGTTGGCATCAAAATTTCTTCTACCAGGTGCAGAGCTAGCTGAGGAGCTGCAGCAGGCCTGCCATTTTCTGTTTGTACACAAATGGCTCGGTTGTGTGGTTCTGTTTTCTCAGTCTTATGCTGCCAGATGGGCAGTTTGTACATTTTTTTTTCCCCAAGATACTTCACTGGCTTATCAACCTGCTGCATCTGGGCCACGAGCTCTATCAGCAGAAAAGAAGCTGTGGTCAGGGTATGACTCCACCTTGCTCCTTTCCCCTCTGCCCTGTGTGGCATGGCAGCAGCACAAGTTTGAATGCTGCTCCCCTTCAGGATGTGCTGAATGACAGCAGAAGGACTGAAGCAGCTTCACAAATCGTCTAGAGTGTAGCACAGCCTCTGTCATGCTTTATCCAAATATTCTGGGTGCTAATGGGGGCAGGATACTCTACCAAGCATGCCAACTACTTGTAAGCGTCCAAAACAGTTCTTGATAGGGGGGCCTGCTGCTGGAGCTTGGAGGCTATCAAAGTAAAACAGGCATAAAATTGCTGGCTAATGATACAGTACCATGTTTAACTTGGTCTGATTTATCATGGCCCTGTCTGAGCGCTGGGGTGGCAAGTACAAAAAGGCCCAGTCTTACACAACTTTCTTGCTTCATTTAGCATGAAAAAAACAGCTTGGCAGCTGCTAAGTCATTAACCTTGAGTGGAATGTGCTGAGCAGAATATCCCATGTATCCACTAGATGTCTCTGTAAATATGGGTCTTTTTTACTATTTTCTTTTTTGTTGTTGTTCTTTTTTCCTGTCGAAGAAAGCGATCCCCAAAACATCACTGTCAGCCCTGAAGCAGGCTAGAGCTGCTTTCAATAAAGGAATCTGGATTTGAGGTGGAAGAGGACGTTCCATGCTCCTCCTTTGCTTTTTCTCTAAAAAACTCAGTATTAAACCCTAGGCCTAATCAGTAGTGGTTCCCTTCCTGTGTTACTTTTTTAGTAGGAAGAAAGAGAGGTGTTATGAGCCAGGATTTGAAATGAGGACCTGAGTTTTCACAGACATCTTAGCAACTATCTCTAAGAGTGCTCATCAGTATTGTGTTCCTTCCTAAATGGAAGGACCTAATGTCATCCTGGTTATTTGGTGGCCTGTTTGTGTGGACTAACTGTGCTGCCTCAGCTAGCAGCTGGAACACATCAGGATAATTAAATGGCAGAAATGACACTGTCCAGTGTCATTACCTGTGGCTTCAGTATACTCTGAAGAAGCTGTATTACAGAAGAGAAATATTCAGGAAGTGCTATGTCACTCCAGAACTTCTGTGCCTGCTTGGAATGGCTTCAGAAGCCTGGTCAGGACTTGAACAAAATTGCCTGAGCTACAGAATTGCTTTTCTCTGTGCTTGTAATTCTAATTTAGAACTGATCAAGAACTAGCCTCAAAATTAATAAGCAAGCTGCCTCTAAAGAGCTGCACTGTTAGCTGATACATTGTAGTTTCCTCCTTCATGGTACAAATTGTCTCTCTCCCTCTTTATAAATTAGACAAGAAATGGAGTTGCTGCTCTGAGACAGAAGAAGAAAATGGGAGTAGCTAACATCACATTTGATCTGTACAAGCTGAACCCTAAGGATTTTATTGGATGCTTAAACATCAAGGCAACTTTCTATGAGATCTACTCTGTCTCATATGACATCAAATGTATGGGAGCAAAAAGTGTATTGCGGTAAGTATGTTTTCACTACTGATCAGGCATATGTGTTAATGTAAAATCTGGGTTTGCTTATTGGTTCTGTCAAGCAGGTGTGTTTATAAACTTAGGGGTTTTTATTAATTCATGCATACTGACAAATATGATGAATCTTCCTTTGTGAAGTAGATAGCTGACTTATAAAATCCTACTATAGCTTTTTATGGTGGAATTTTAACTTTCCCCCAAGGTGAAATTCTTATCAGCTTGTGTTTACTGTAAAGGTGTAGGTACAGTCTCTGTTTTCCTGAGAGAATTTCCCCAGATTTCTTTGACTTGTTTGAAGAATGCAGGAGGCTGAGGAAGAAGCATCGGACTCCTTGAAAGGGGGTCTTCAAGGGGGTGAAATGAGAGAAATTTGAGATCTAATGGCAGGGCTCTTAAAGCTTGCTCAGGCTTTGCAATACCTGGCTGCCAGACTCACCACCTGAGCTACATGGAGGCGAAGGAAAATTGAAGAGATATGACAATCTTCTGTCTTAATGTGAACTTGTCATTTGTAGTTCAGACTCTGATGTCACTGTCTTTAAGCCAACTGGTCTCTAAGCAAATCAATGGAGCCTAACAAGGACCACTGTCTCCTGCAGGACTAGTCTGTGGTAGGTTGTGAGTTAGGTAGAACTGGCTGTCAGGAAATACTGTTTTATGCAGGGGCAAAATAACGCCTGTACTGTCCACTGCTTTCAACAGTGTGTTGAAAGTCTGTGCCTTGTCAAAACTATCTGTGTCCTGCCCTGGTTGAAGAAAACTTCTCAGTTCAGAGACCTTCACAGAGGTGCCATGCTTTGACAGCTGTTTAAGCTGCAGCCCTGAATTTCTCTACCTGACCTTTCAAGTTCTGGTTGAGGTGCAGCAGAGTGATGTTGCTGCATTTTATTACCTGAAGACCAGATCTGCTCTGTACAGAGCACAGGTGTATATGCCTAAGTGAGGTTTTTGCTTCCCCTGAGCAACATATAGTTTGAAGTCTTCATATAGTCCCTTGTCTTAAGATGCAGGTATTAAGCATTGTAATGCTAATTTTGTCTGTCAGTCTGACTGACCTCTCCCACTCTACTTAGGTGGTCTCTTGCTTAATCTTTCAGGTTACAGCTGGTGTGACTGTAGATAAGACTCATCTCTCTGGTCATGCTGCTGTGATTGTCCAGCTATATGCTATGTCCACCTGTAACACTGGCTTCATTAGGGTTTCTTCAAAGAGAAGATTTACCCTTGAACAGCTGCACTCTTCCAGTTCCTATGTTTGTCAAGTCTCTTGAGCCAGAACAAACTCTGATTTCTGGCTATCTGCTATGGAGATTAGTATCAGCACTGGAACTTGCACTGCTAAGGAGAGTTTGAAGTGACAGTTCCGCCTCCCTGCCAACGCGAGGCAGCTGGTGAGAAAGGAGTGGTGCTGGCAAACAGCTGAAGTAGCTGTGGAGTTCTTCTGGAAGCACTGTTATGTTACAGAGTTGAGCTGTAAGGGAAGTGCCAGTGTCAGGGTGGGAAGATAGTCTGCTAGCAAAGAACAGGGGTGATGGAAGAGATAACCTCGGGTACTCTTGAACACAACTGTGAGGTGACCTGTCTCAACTTGCTGTTGAAATTGGAGACAGACTATGTTAGGTTCTTGGTGTAGTCCCTCTGCTAATGAGTTCCAAATCATGAACTGTGATGCCCTCTCCCGAGCCCACCTGTGGAGTGTGAAGGGAAAGGACTTTAGAACGCTGCAGTTGTTCATCAGTGGGAGGGGCTCAAAGCCTGCCAGATCCCATTAGTGCATTTCCCCTAACGGTTTCTCCCTGTAGTGTCCAGCTGAAGGATCAAATGTCCAGTTCAACAAATAACTTGCTCCATGGCTTAAGTGGCAACTGCTCTTGTGTGCAAGTGACACACTGCAGCTGCTCAAAAGCTTGGTACCAGGTGCAGCTTTCTTTACAACTATAAAGCTCCTTGGCCTGTACTATCTGGTGGAGGGAAGGATATACTGAAATGGCATATGCGTGGGAGGCATGGATAAGAGGTTCAGTGCTTTTCAAAGGCTTCCCAGTTTCTAAGTACAGGGTATTCTACTCTTGAAGCACCAGATTTTGACTGCAAACCTTCTTTCATCACAGTGGAAAAAAAATAATTTATAGGAAGAAGACTGTGCTTTCTCTGCTAGAACTCAAAGGAGAAGTGAATTGCAATGGAGGGTTCACAGCTGCATGTTTTCTCGGAGAGGAATTTAGAAAATCTTTCCCCTTTTTTTGCAGAAGAGAAAGGCTGGTCTGGTTTCTGCATCTTCAGAAACTGATCCCTTTCCAGTTTTGAAATTGTTCCGATTCTCACATACCACTTCCCCCAGTGCATCAGCTTCATACTTATTAGGGCCTACTTAACTTTCAGAGGATGAGGCTTGAATATAGCTCTTGGTACTGATGTCCCTGCAGTTTCTTGGAGAATGGAAGGAAGATGCAGTTATGATTAAGTTAATGACCATTCAAATATAATGATCTCTATTCCCCTGTGGTGATTCACAGTCTATATTGTAGACCTCTGCTTACTTGATATTACTTGATGGATTTGTACTGATTCTCACACAATATTATACGTTTGAATGTTGATACTTCCTAAATCTTTAAGAAACTGAGTAGTTGTGAACTGAGAATTCTTAAGGCTTCCAGCTTGGACAGCATTAATTTGCCTGGCTTCACTTGTTTTGCTGCTGGGCATCCACTGTAACATGGTTGTTTAGCTTCAGATCCAATCCAGTTTGGTCTGTAGCTTGGAGATACATGCAGTGTTGTATTAGTGAATGGCCTAAAGGTGATACAGTAGGTGAATTCATGCTGCAGGAATGCTGCTGAGTTCCCAGGCAAAGTTGTCTTCAGTGGTGCTTAGGTAGTTTGAGTGGTGGCTTTGCAAGAGGCCTCTAAATGTCTAATAGGATGACAGCCTGCTTTAAGTGTGTTTTCTGGTTCTGCCAACATGTCAATAGTTTTCTGTTAATCAGTGGTCATAGAAGTATTTTTGTACCTTCTTTAGAAAAAATGACTGAGAATGAATGAGAAAGTTCTTGGATATATCTACCTAACTCATCCTAAAGGTGTTATGGGTGGGGGAGAAAGGGGTATTGTCATCCTGCTGCTGATTATTTTTTTTTTTTAAACAAATGGCTTTTCTTCTAGGAAGGTGCTTCAGCTAATGTCCCATGCAGCACAAATAACTGGACAGTTTCTTCTCTATACTGGAACATATATGTTGCAGTTGATGGGTGAATATGATGAAGATGGCACGTGTACAGGATCAAGGCAGGAGTAGTGAGCACAGCTGCACTTCTGATATCGGATCCTTTTGCTTAAAGACATTTTCTTGCCCAGTTTTGATTGTAATGATGTTATAGTAGGGGGATGTCCGCTGATGTGAACTAACATTTTTCCCATTTGGGAATGCTTGTAGGCCTTAGTCATAAAACAAGTATTTGGTGTTCACAGGCTCTTAACACAGCAAAAGGATGGGTGGCTAATGTCAGAGTTTGGCAAAAGAAGGGAGGGCAGATTTTTTGCCCCAGCAACTCAAAATGTAGTATCCTATATACTCAAAATAAGTATACTTGGAAACTTACACACTTCATAAACAGTGGAATATTTCTTGCACTGATCAAAACATAGTTTGGTTGGTTTTTTTCATGGCTGTCTACTTGCCTTCTGAACAGACTGGGCTGTAAGGTGGGGGGCGGGAGGGAGGGCTCCTTTTGGGTTTTAATCCTTAACAGTGCTGGTATTATTACCCAACTGGCATTGAGGTACAAAAGGGTAAAGTGGACTTATTTACTCCTGCTAAAAATGGAACTGCATGATATACAACTGAATCCTGGTTCAGTGACTGGCTACACTCATGAAGTCTAATTGGAAAAAGTACAACTACTAAGCAGAACCTTAAGATTTAGCCTTACTTCCCTTCAAACAAGTAAAACCATTTAATTATAACTCTTGATATTTTTCTTCAAATCTACAGAAAATTCAGGTTAGTGTAGTTCAAACTAGTTGAAGAACCTGATATATTTCTTTAATGGGTCTGATGTCTAGTTCTACCTGAAGTATTGAATCATTTGCCATAGTTTTATGAATATGGCTTACAAGTAACCTGCTGAAGCTTCCTTTGGGGGTTAAACCATCGCTTCTGTAGTTTTTATTGTTCAGTTACAAGATGACACTACATCCCAAGTTGTGCTTGAGGTACATGTAAGAAATGCTGGATTTTGATGCCCCTGTGTTCAGGAGAGAGGAGCAGGACATTGTCTAGTCTTGTGTAACGTACATATGCTCTAAACTGGATATTTGCTGGTTTACAGTTTCCCAAAACAAGCTGTATTAAAGGGCAAAGTTTTTAATCCTTAGGTAGAATTGTCCATAATGTTTTCCACACTTCAGTGAACTGCTAGTATGACCAGCTTCCAGCAAGCTTTTTCTCAACAGCATAGAAAACTGGAAAAGGAGCAGTGTTAGGCATCTTGTGTCAAAATACAAAATCCCATTGCTGGAGGGAAAAAGCCCAGCTTTGTTTGATCATAGATGTGGCTTTTGAGGTTTTCATTTGCTTACTCATGAAGTTATATTCTTGGTTAAGATTGAAAGCTGTTAAGGAGACAGCAGATACTGGTAGATGCATCTAACCTGACAGCAGGTGCCAGCTAGGAAGAGAAGCTCTGGTGACAGAATGAAAAAGTGGGGCAGGGGAAGAAAGCAGTGGAAGCAAAAGGGAAGAGACCAGTGTGACCCCCACAGTGCTTGCCATGCATCTCCTGAGACAGGAATCCATTAACTATGTGCATCAACTGCTCTGATCAGTTGGAGGAAAATTTAATCTGCTAGAAGAGGATCAGGTGGACTGAAAAGACCAAGCATTTTGGTTGGTGGGACCTATTCTGACCTGTCAGCTGGGTCTGTTCACTTCACATGTCACTAATATGTGGGAAATTGCTTACACTTTTATCTGCAAATTTCACCTTCACGTCCATATTTTTACCTTCACTTTATGGAAGTGATTTATCCAGCTGGAGCTGCACCTTTCAAATCACTGTTGTCATGAAAAGCAGCCTAAATCTAGGTGTTAAATGGACTGATGGATACAAGTTCAGTAGATCTTCACCTGCCTCTTCAGTAATGGTATTACAAATAAGTAGATAGCTAAGAAAAACCTTGGGTTTTTTTCCCAATTTCTACTGAGTGTTTGCTGGAGGAGGGGGTAGGGCACACTGTTCCAGGCAAGGGGAGGGCTGGTTCTTTCCTAATTTCTCACAGGGAAGAATGCCTGTAGGTCAGGTTTCCTTCAGAATAAAACAATAAACTACTCTGTGAGTAATGAGAAAGAACTTATATTAAAATGGAAGTTTTATACTTCATCCGTAGCATTTTTGACACCACCCATCCCCCCCACAATGATTGTTGCCATGGTAACTGTTGGCCAATGTCCTTCTATCCCTATCAAGGAATTGCATTTAACTGATGCAGTGCAAAGACTTTATCATTAATTCTTTCAGCTTTTAAGGAACATTTATTCTATTAAAGCAAGCACATCTCTTGAAAACAAACTCTGTGTAATATTCCTAAAAGTGTTTATGTTGCTAATAGTGAGAGCACCAACAGTGTAAGAAAAAAAAAAAAAAACAAAACAAAACCAAACCAAACCAAACCAACAACTTTCATAGTTCAATATTGCTTTGTGTGAATTGCATCTTCAACATCTGTAATAAACGCTTTTGCAAGTCTCAATCCTGCAGATCTCAAATTCCAGCCTTCTATAGCCAAAGGCAATTGTTATAGAACTAACACTCTATAGTTCCGATGGCACTGAGAACCTACTGTGCTTCAAAATGATCAGGATGAATTTGCAGTGTTTTTAAGCAGCTGCTACTTTGACAGCTTAAAATTTGAGCTGCTGAAGGTCATGTGGGGTGCAAAGTCTCCATCTCAGAGCATGTCCATGTAATTCAAAATGCAAAGTAACTAATATTTGATATTTTCTCAAAATGGAAGAACTGTCTTGGAAGTTGTGTCTGAAATTGTTTCACTGCTTCTGAATCTGGATTTTGCCACAGGCTTAGTATTTGGGAGATGATATTTGCTACTGTACCAACTTATTTCCAGAGATTTGTTTTGGCTTTATGTCAAACTGGAGGATTTTGTCATTCTCCAAGTTGAAACCAGTTTGATTTTTTAAATTTTTTTTTTTTACAGACTGCTTAGGAGGCATAGCTTTTATTTCAGCTGTATGTGTTATACAACAAAGAACAACTTCAGCATTATCTGCCTTTCAGAAAATTTCATACACAAGTGGTGTATAGTACCTAGTAAGAGAAAAACTAAAAGCACAGGCTCTTAACTGCAGGTATTTAGAGAAGCAGCTAGCTTTTCTACTTGACATTTTTAGCTTTAATTTTCTTTCCATAAACTCAGTTAATCTGCAGTTGTTACTGTTGCAGTCAAGGCTGGTATCAGTGTTGTGTCCAAGGTGTGAAACTTGTTTACTGCCTTCTTGCTTGCACTGGCCGTTTTTGCCTGTTGCTTTGCATCACTTGCTAACAATGTAGCAAGTCATACTCTCTAGTTACCAAAAAAGGAATTTTTTTGGAAGTACTCGATCTTGTTGACTCAGGCACTGTTCATGTTCTGCAGGCAAAACAAAGTTGCTCTCTTCATGACTAGAATGAAAAATCTAGTCTCTCCTTTGTGTGTATAATTTATCATTACTCCATTTCCTTCCTTTCATAAACCCATGAAGTTGTTGCTTTCTTACACCTTCCTATTATTTCAGGAAAAAAGGATTACAAGATCATCTGTCCAGCGGAAGAGAAAAAGACAGAGTCTAAATTCCTTAGACCATTTGGAATATGCTCTAGGAAATATCCTGAATCCCTTCCCTACAAAGAAGGGAAGGGAGGGGTAAAGAAAGGAAAACAGGAATTTGAGCTAGAAGATTTTCAGATTTACAGTGAGTAGAGACATAGGTGTTAACAATTTAGGAAATGTTGGTAATTCTGAATAGTAACTGTGAAGTTAACTACATATGATCATTTGTAACTGACTAGAATAAGAACTCAAAATCATTTCATCATGCTTCCTTCTGAGATAGCACTTGAGCTAAAGGCACAAGCTTCTTTAATTAAAAACAAAAAAAGTTTAAAGACAAAGTATATTTTTGACTTGGTGCCTCAAGTTTTACTGGATGTGTTAATGTGATTAACATAACATTTCATTTATGTATTAGTAAGTATCCTTGTGGAGTTTCAAGTTTCTCACTGCTTTCTCTACCTTGCCTTGTCGTATATGCAGTTAAGAAATTTATAAACATGAGGATTGTTATTTTGCTAAGGGAAGAGGTAGCATTTTACCACTTCACAATTTTCAAGCTTGGTAGTTTAACTTGCTGTGAAAATTGAGATGGATGAGAATTGTGCGTCGGTGATGGCAGTTTTTTCTGATGTGTGGTGCCAATTATAAGGAACACTGTCCATGAATAAATAAAACCAAATAGTGGCTTTGGATGTCATCTCTATTAATTTCCAGAGTAACTTATTCCTGAGATAATAATGAATGTTAATGGATCTGTGGTCTGGCACTGGCAGTTTCCAAATGCTGGACTGCAGCAGTGAAGTAACTGGATACTATTATGTGGCTTTGAACTCTTAACTCTTTACTGCTGACTCACTTTCTGGTCTCAGAGAAACTGTGCAAACTGTGGTTCCTTTCATACAAAAGGAATGCTTTTCACCATCTTTTACCAAAGCTGTAAAAGACTACAGAGTACAGAGGATAGCTTTGACAATCTCCAGTTTTCACTAAATACTGTAAGGATCAAGGATCTCCTTTTATAATGCCTCATGAAAACTCCCTGCAATCATGTACCTACAGATACAGTAGCGCTCATTTGATTGCAGGGAAATATGAATTCAGTTTAGCAAAATATTAGATTTTTCTAGTTCAGGTTTAACTTAGCCTTCAGGAAAAATAGCATGCAAATGTGGTCAGTATTACTTATATGTAATAAGTACATCCTGTACTCAGCTTAAGGGAGTTTTGCAGAGCTTGATGATAGAGCAGTTCCCGTCCTGGGGGAGAACCAAGGTCTGTCTTCTTGCTATGGAAAAGCACCAAATACTACTGGGTTAGTGGCAAGGTGGTGGCAGTGGGGGGTGGAGGGGGTTGCTGTGAGGGTGACATCTGAGTAGAGACCAGGGGCTGTCTCTGCCTTGTACAGAGCTACTTCCAGCTGGCTCCAAAGTCAACTCACCATTGCCCAAAGCTGAGCGCTTCAGCCAAGTTGGTGATGCCTCTGGAAACATAATTTAAAAAGGGTAAAAAATGCTGTGCAGCAGCTGAGAGAGAGGACTGAGGGAAATGTGAAACAGTCCTGCAGACACCAATGTCAGGAAAGGAGGAGGGGGAGGAGGTGCTCCGGGTGCTGGAGCAGAGCTGCCCCTGCAGCCCATGGTGAGGAAGTCGTGCCCCTGTACCCATGAAGAACCACAGTGGAGCAGATATGCCCACTACAGCCCCTGGATGACCCCATGCCACAGCAGGTAGACGTGCCCTGAAGGAAGATGCAGCCTCTGGGGAGTCTGTGCATGAGCAGATTCCTGGCAAAAGAGGAGCCCACACAGGAGCCGGATTTCTGGCAGGACCAGTGACCTGTGGGGGACCCACACTGGAGCAGTCGGGTCCTGAAGGACTGTACCCCACGGAAAGGATCCACACTGGGAAGCAGTTCCTGAAGGACTGTATCCTGTGGGATGACCCACACTGGAGCAGAGGAAAAGTGTGAGAAGGAAGGAGCAGCAGAGAAGAACTGGTGTGGACTGACCATGACTCCCACTTCCCTTCCCCACTTGGGGCCAGGGAGAGTAGATAGAGTTGGTGATGAAGGAAGGAAGTTGAGTTTGAAAAGGGGATGGAGGGAAGGTGGTTTTAGTTTTGTTTTTTTTTTCTCACCATCCTACTCTATTTTTAATTGACAATAAATTAAATTAATCTTCCCTGGGTTGAGTCTGTTTTGCTGGTGTCAGTAACTGGGGAGTGATCTCCCTGTCTCTGTCTCAACCCACAGCTTTTTCATCTTTTCTCCCCATGTCCTGTTGAGAGAGACTGGCTTGGTGGGCACCTGGCAGCCAGCCAAGGTTAACCTACCACAATCATGGAATACTAAAAGTAAAAATCGAAAACCAAGCTTTCTTTGCTATAGGTGACCAGTAAAATTGGAAACAAATCTTTCAGAGTGTTTTCTGAATGGCTTTTCACAGCTGTTTTTGCAGAGACAAATCCAGTCATACACAGGATGGTTAATAATTTCAGTTGTCATGATACAAACTATTAACTAACTTCAATCTCAAGTATGGTATTTGTAAGGTCACCCATCAGTCTGAATCATTCATAGTAGGCTCCACTCCTCATGTGTTCTTGGTTAGGAATATTTATTAATATTATCACTTGAAAGAGAACATTGAAATAATACTGTTAGCTGTTTTATAAAACAGCTAATGAAATGGAACACTAGAAATACAGTATGTTTAAATAGACTCCAGAATCAGAATAATGAATTCTATGCAGTTCTAACATGGAAAGTTGATTGATCATCAGTTTTCTAAAAAGTCTGCTTTAATAATTAGCATACATTATGTATAGGTTAGGTTTGGGTTTTTTTAAAGTAATGTAACTATTGTCACAGGTTGATTGTGATTCTGTTCTGTGTTTAAAAAAAAAAAAAACAAACTTAGATCCTCAGACAACTACTGTGTTTAAGAAAACAGTAGCTTAATAATGTGGATAGTCAGTCTATTATAGACCCAGAGAAATATCGGACATCTAAGAAGCTCTAAAAAGTCAGGTATAATTATTTCTGACACATTTTGTAATTACACTGTGAAGTCTATAATCCTTTATGTTAGAAGCTCTTCTAATTATAAAGCATTTTCCCTTGCACAGGTATGTGACTTGTTTTGTTGCTGCTCTTAATAAGTAGTGTTTTCAAATGCTCTTCCCCCATCTCAAAAATCATGAAAGAATAAGCAAGAATACGATAAATTATCTTTTTTAAGTATAAGGTCTACTGATTCATTATTGAGCTAGTAAAACTGAAGTCTGCTGTACTCCCTGTTTTATTCCTGAAAAGCTGAAGTACAAATGGCGTCATTACAGTGATTCCTGTGCCAAACATGCTTAATTTAGTTGTTCTCCCAGCAGCAGCTTTCCTGATTTCTTGCTCATTTAGAAAAGCTAGAAAAGCTGTTTTTGTTACCTAGAAAAGCTGCCTAGAACAGTTGCAGAATACTGTTCTAATCTGCACTCAACTCCCTGAGTGATCATGCTTTCCAAATAAAAGTCATTATCTTCCAGAATAACTGAGGTATTTTCAGAGACAATTGATTATTCAAAAATAAACCCTTTTTATCTGAAATCAGAAATTTCTAAATAGTTGCTGCAAATAGCTAGTTATTCCGGTCTCCCAGAAAGACCATTTCATCTTTGGATGGAATGATCAAGCTGGTTTTCCTCATCATTATAAGCATTTTTTTCAAAATACACTAAGATCAGAATTTCATCTAGCTGAGAAAAGTACAGCCGTTAATAGTTCAATCTCTGTGACCACTGAATTCAGTAAAGAATTCTCTCAATTCATACTAGTCTTATCTGGCCCTGACATGGCACTGTGTTCAGTTTTCACAAGAGTTGTGATCAGTGAAAACAAAGCAGGTTTTGTCACTGGCAGCATCAGCAACTACTAAAGGCAGCAGTAACCTAATGGATAAATCACTTTTGTTTCCATGCCTTCTACCTCTCCAAAGGGTTGGGATTTAGGTTTTGGGTTTTTGTTTTTTTTTTTTGTTTGTTTGTTTGTTTGGGGTTTTTTTGTTGTTGTTTGGTTTTGGTGTGTGTTTGTTTTTTTGGTTTTATTTCCCCATAAAATTCCTACTGCTACATTCTGGTTTTCACTTGGAAGCTCTCAGCACTTTTTGCACTGCTCCAGTTTTCTTTCATCTAAACTTTTCTCTGTGTCTGATGTCATTACCTAATGTCACCAGCTTCAAGCACTCGGTTCCATCTGCTATTTTTCTGTCACTTGCTCTGGTGACCCCTTCACACATGTGACCTGTTATGTTGGTCCTCTTGAGGCCTTCCGTCACCTTTTCCAGGCTCCCTTTGGTCACATTCAAACCAAAAATACTTAATGACTGAGGAAAGGGGGTGGGGGGAGTGAGGAAATGTAAATTTTTAAAAAAGACGTTTATATCTGTCTTGCTCTATCTGTAGTTCATCTTAAGTCTTTTCATACAGAAATGGTCAGCCTCCTTGTTTATACAGCATTTTTAGTATAACTGCCTTCCATATTAACCAAGATGCTGTCCTGAGATAAAAAGCTTTTGACTGCTTAGAGCTGAGCCCTATTCCTGACAGATCATACAGGCCCCATGTAATATAAAGTCCCTATTCAGTACAGAGACGGGACACCACAATGAAATCATTTTACACAACAGAGATGTATCTCTCTGCAAATCTTCCATGCGCAGGCAACAACTGCGTCTCCACACCCTTCCCGCAAAGCGATGGCATTTGACTGTGTAGTCAACATATATTGTAACCCCATATCCCCCCGTGTTCTGGTACACTGTTTAACAAACGGACTGTGAAACGGATTATTCACCGTGGGCAGGCAGTGGGTTGAGTCCTGGCCATGGGCCAGACTGACCTCTTACATTCTTAGCATTCATAAGCCTTTAAATCATTAATATGGTAATGCTGCTAATAGGCTCCACTCCAAGGCGTACACCCTCAGTCTCACTGCTGCAGAGTGGTTTTCTAAGAGAAAAATTATTGGTTCTCTGTGTGTAAATGTTGTCTTCCTCTCCTAATTCCCCATCGGTAGCTCTCTGAGTACCCTGCTCAGAGGGGGATGCTTCAGCTGCTTTTGTGCATTCAGTACCAGACCACATTCCTTCAGCGCCTGTACCCACCTGCCCTTGACAGTGCTGTGGACTGAGCTGATAAAAATAAGCCAGGCTTTGTCCAGTCATAGCTTCTGCTGTGCTGTTTGTCCTGGGGCTGATGGACTTGCGAGGAATGGTGCTCCTCTCTTTACAAATGTAATCTGAGAGAATCATTTGTGAAGCAGGCTAGAAGCAGTATGCTGATTTGGTTTGGACATGGGTGACAGATGAGCAGGATCTGTGCTGGTGAGGGAAGGGTGGCAGCCAGGAGCCACTCACCACCGGAGACAAAGGGTAAGGAAGAAAACTGTGACTCACCTGCGAAAGCCAAGACCTGACCGGTGCAATCTGTAATTGATTTTAGCTGCAAAACTACTCTTATAAAATAATTGCTTCTTACGGTGAGATGAATCACTTTTACTTGGAAAGATACACATTTCACCTCCAATACATGCTTTGCTTAGTAAGTGTTAAATAACTGACAGTCTAGACAGGACTCCAACCCTTTGTCTTAGAGGTCTATTGCTTTTTTTTTTTTTTTTTTCTCAGAGAATAAAACC